GCAGAGAACAGTCTGAATGTAGAGAACAGTCTGGATGTAGAGAACAGTCTGGATGCAGAGAACAGTCTGGATGCAGAGAATAGTCTGGATGCAGAGAACAGTCTGGATGTAGAGAACAGTCTGGATGTAGAGAACAGTCTGGATGTAGAGAACAGTCTGGATGCAGAGAACAGTCTGGATGTAGAGAACAGTCTGGATGCAGAGAACAGTGTGGATGTAGAGACCAGTCTGGATGTAGAGAACTGTCTGGATGCAGAGAAAAGTCTGGATTTAGAGAACAGTGTGGATGTAGAGAACAGTCTGGATGTAGAGAACAGTCTGAATGTAGAGAACAGTCTGGATGTAGAGAACTGTCTGGATGTAGAGAACAGTCTGGATGTAGAGAACAGTCTGGATGTAGAGAACAGTCTGGATGCAGAGAACAGTCTGGATGCAGAGAACAGTCTGGATGTAGAGAAAAGTCTGGATGCAGAGAACAGTCTGAATGTAGAGAACAGTCTGAATGTAGAGAACAGTCTGGATGTAGAGAACAGTCTGGATGCAGAGAACAGTCTGAATGTAGAGAACAGACTGGATGTGGAGAACAGTCTGGATGCAGAAAACAGTCTGGATGTAAAGACCAGTCTGGATGTAGAGACCAGTTTGGATGCAGAAAACAGTCTGGATGTAGAGACAAGTCTGGATGCAGAAAACAGTCTAGATGTAGAGACCAGTCTGGATGTAGATAACAGTCTGGATGTAGAGACCAGTCTGGATGTAGAGAACAGTCTGGATGTAGAGACCAGACTGGATGCAGAAAACAGTCTGGATGTAGAGAACAGTCTGAATGTAGAGAACAGTCTGAATGTAGAGAACAGTCTGGATGTAGAGAACAGTCTGGATGCAGAGAACAGTCTGGATGCAGAGAACAGTCTGTATGCAGAGAACAGTCTGGATTTAGAGAACAGTCTGGATGCAGAGAACAGTCTGGATGTAGAGACCAGTCTGGATGTAGAGACCAGTCTGGATGCAGAAAACACTCTGGATGTAGAGACCAGTCTGGATGCAGAAAACAGTCTGGATGTAAAGACCAGTCTGGATGTAGAGACCAGTTTGGATGCAGAAAACAGTCTGGATGTAGAGACCAGTTTGGATGCAGAAAACAGTCTGGATGTAGAGACAAGTCTGGATGCAGAAAACAGTCTAGATGTAGAGACCAGTCTGGATGTAGAGAACAGTCTGGATGTAGAGACCAGTCTGGATGTAGAGAACAGTCTGGATGTAGAGACCAGTCTGGATGCAGAAAACAGTCTGGATGTAGAGACCAGTCTGGATGCAGAAAACAGTCTGGATGTAGAGACCACACTATACAGGTCAAAGATTATTCAAGATGGGTTTTGCTCAATCTAACATCTGTCCACAGTGCACTAGCAATCATCTTGATAATTATATTCACGCGTTATGGTTCTGCATGCCGGTTCAGAGGTTCTGGGTTCAGGTATGTCAGGATCTATCACTGTGCCTGGGTTGTAAAATCCCACTTTCCCCTCCAGTTTGCCTGCTGGGTGACTTTGAGGGAAGCTCTCTGGAAAAAAAATCAGTTTGCATGGCCTTCACTGCATTATGTATCGCAAAGAAAACTATCCTCATGAATTGGAAAAGTAAGGATAAACTCAGCATCAATCAGTACAGAGATCTGTTGTTGGATCATATTAATCTTGAGACAGCATCTGCATCCCCATCAGACCGATCTCTCTGGGCTCCCTTGATCGGCTCCATCACTTAGTGTAGTGGGGGGCTGTATGGCACGTCCTACGGGGCGCGGGGGCTGGTTCGGGGCTCCTTGGGTCCTGCGGGGCTTGGGGGGCACTCGGAGAGGGGTGTCTGGCGGGTCTGACCCATCAGGGCGGGGCTTGGGATGCCTCGGGGATTCCTACGGCAGCCGCTTGCGGTGCTCTCGGGGGGTTCTGTGGTGGCGGACGTGGGTTACTGGCCTGGTAGCTGTGCTGCTGCTGGGTGGGTCCGGATGTCTGGGGTCCCTAGGGCGCGTTGCCCTCAGCGGGTGCCCCGGCGTCAGGGGTTCGGGTTCTGTGGGGAATCTTTGGTCCTGGGATTATCGGATGTGAGTGTTATGTGTGAATGTGCGTCCGCGTTATATTTTTTTTTTTTTGGCTCATCTCAGAGTGTGTGTGGTGTGAGTGGGGGCTCTAAGGTGGGAAGGTGTGATTGAAACTGTCAGTTTTTCTTTCCCAGTTTGGGATCTGAACTGCTCCCTCTCACAAGCACATCTTAAATCTCCGCCAAGTGCGGCGCCCATTCCCCCCGTCCTGCTCTCCCTCCGCTGGCTGGCATCGGGGCTCGCCGGTGCACTGGTGGACCCGGGTGGATGCCTGGGTGGCTGCTGGCTCATTCCTGGCTGCTTCTCCGCTGGGCCTGCCCCCCAGGGTACGGCTGGGGCTCGCGCCAGGGGGTGGGGCACCCCTGGGGCCTCGGATCCCTGGGGCCAATGGCCAGATTCAATTAGGGGTGGCTGGCTGCCAGCAAAGCCCGCGGACTCGTCCCCGTGGCTCCCGGGGGCTCCGGCATTGTGGTTTCTTGGGGACTTCCTCGGGACTGTCTCTCCTCCTCCCTTGGTGGGGGTCGGATTTCCTGGGCTGGCCCCTCCTTTATGCCTTCGCTCTTGGGGTCCCTTTGGGCGCCTGGGGCTTTGGGTCTCCCGGCGCTGAACTCAGTGCTCTGGGGGGGCGCCTCTTTGGCTCTCCACAACCACTATTGAGCATTTTCTCTATGGATAAACTTTACATGCAGTAGTGCACCCTCACTAACAACTACAGGTGCTAGGCTCCAGGTACTCAGAGATTCACTTCCACACAGAAACTCCACATTCATGTCTTCAGGTAACACAGAGTACATGTCAGATTAAATAATACTACTTCAGCCATAGTATCTAGGTGTTACTTTATCGTATGTCTCCTTCCATGTCTGTTGGTTGTTCTGTTCTTTTTCCATCTCTTTGCAGGTGATGAAGCAGACTGAAGATGTTTTATCATTATCTCCCTTTTATCTCCTCTTTCTTTCATCTTTTCTCCTTTTTTTCTGTTTATCCTCCTCTGTTCTATTTACATTGCAGTGTCCATATAATCAGAAAACTCCCTGCATGATTATAATAAAGCTATTTATAAGCATGAAACAATTGGAGCAATATGGCGATAGCCGTACTGCTCCAATTGTGAAAGTAAAATCTGTTGGGCTCTTTTTGGCATCAAGACAATTATTCTTATTGCCACACACTAAATAAAAAAAAAAAAAAAAAAAATATATATATATATATATATTGAATATAACTCTGTTTTAGATAACATTTGGTCCCACTCCATTTCAGTGTAAAATTGACTCTATAACTAGTGTCAGATCATTTCATTCATGGTAGAATCTCAGAGCCCAGCGGGTAAACGACAGCAGATAGAGGAACAGTTACTCTCATTATTAACTCCAACACTGGAGCAGATTTACACTCAGTACACTTAAAAATACTCCATTTAGAGCTCAGTAAGTTTAATCTGAATGTTTCACACCCAGACTTTTACTGTGAAGAAGGCAAACATCACTGGCAGAGAAAGGGGGCCGCCTGAGGGCCTCCGCTGGCCCCAGGGCCTGAGGAGAGAAGCAGCCTGAGGGCCTCTGCTGGCCCCGGGGTCTGAGGAGAGAAGCAGCCTGAGGGCCTCTGCTGGCCCCATCAGGGCCTGAGGGCCTCTGCTGGCCCCAGGGCCTGAGGAGAGAAGCAGCCTGAGGGCCTCTGCTGGCCCCATCAGGGCCTGAGGGCCTCTGCTGGCCCCAGGGCCTGAGGAGAGAAGCAGCCTAAGGGCCTCTGCTGGCCCCAGGGCCTGAGGAGAGAAGCAGCCTGAGGGCCTCTGCTGGCCCCAGGGCCTGAGGAGAGAAGCAGCCTGAGGGCCTCTGCTGGCCCCAGGGCCTGAGGAGAGAAGCAGCCTGAGGGCCTCTGCTGGCCCCAGGGCCTGAGGAGAGAAGCAGCCTGAGGGCCTCTGCTGGCCCCAGGGCCTGAGGAGAGAAGCAGCCTGAGGGCCTCTGCTGGCCCCGGGGTCTGAGGGCCTCTGCTGGCCCCAGGGCCTCCATGTTTAGGCCTGAGTTCAGCTCTAGATCATCAGCAGGAGGAGAAATTACTGATCCAATGAAATCAATGGATTGTTTCTATTCTAGGAGAAACTGAACATCTGAGAGGAATAATGAATCAGTCTGACTTTAATTCTCAGAGCGACCGCCTCCTGAATCACAGACGGCCGCCATCTGTAGTCAGTCGGCATTTATTAAAGAACCAAAGGGCCAAACGGGCCCTTCAGCTGCTCACTATTAACACGGAACCAACAGATAACGGGAATCCAGCTAATTCCAATTAAAATCATCCAACATGTAATCAAACCAATCAGTGAGAATTGTCTGTAAATGTTCTAATGCTCCATCGATGACAGTCGGCAACATTTGAGGATAATTTATATCTGACAAACAGTTAAAGGAAAAAAATCTGATTTTTTTTATAGTGCAGAGTTAATGAAGCTCCTTCTAAAGACTAAAGTCTTAAACAATCAGTCAGATCAGCTGATCTTCTGATGCCAGAAAGAAGCAGACGATCACAGACTGAAGGAGCTGAAGATGAGCGACTGAGGAAGACCAGACTGCAGGCTGGTCTTTAAACAACCAGCAACATTTGATCCCAGCTGGAAGTTTGAAGATCTCAGCGTTTGAATCCAGAGAAGCAAACATCATGTTTCTGTCTCAGTTTCTAATGTGGACAGAAAGAAGCTGCTGGGAATGAAACACAAACCAACGTTAACAGCAGCCTGGATGCATGAGGTCTGCTGAGCTGCCAGCGCATCAGCTCAGCTCCATCAGTCCCAGTTTGGAAGCAGCTGTTTTATTTTCCAGAAGAGAAAAAGCAGCAAACTCTGAACAGGGGGGGCCACAGGGGCCACAGGGGCCCCGGATCTGATCTAGAGGCTTTTACTCACCTATCAGCAAACAGCTGGCCGCTCAGAAAAGGTTCCCTTCATGAAAACAGTCCGATCGTCTGGAACCAGGATCTGCTGAAGATCCGAGAAAAAACTGAGAAGAAAAGCAGCCGAGCATCCAGATGGGGGAGGGACCAGGAGAGCAGCCAGAGAAATGGAAAAATATTCCTGAGAGGAGCGAGGGGACCGAGGGAGGAAGAGGAGGAGGGGGAGGTCGGCTGATAGTTGGACCTTAAAGGAGCCTCCAGGAGGAAACTGGCATTCAGGGAAGAAAAGACCTGAAACTTTATTAACAATAAAAATGTTTTTTAATCCAAGAGAAAAATAATTTTTCTATTTTTTCTTTTATTTGAAGGGAAAGATCTCCTCCTTTTGATCTCCTTCTCCTTGCTTGTCCAGATCCTCCTTCCTCCCAGCAGCAGGTCTGCAGCATCTTCCTTCCAGGAGGTTCTGCTGTTGGTCCTCCTGGGTTTTGTTCTGGTCTCAGAATTGAAGTCTGGATTTATGGTTCTGTGCTTCCTGCTGCTGCAGCGCTGATGCTTGCTTTAAATAAACTTCCTCTGACTGTAGAGCCTGACATCTTTATGGCGGCTCGTCACGACCGGAACTGACCGGCCAGAATCAGGAAGACTGCAAAGAAAAAGAAGGAAAACATGAACAAAAATGTTTTTTAAAACAAGGGAAGAGATTTATCAATGAACAAGATCGTCTCACCTGACAGGATGTCAAGAACGAAAACAAAATCTATTTTCTAATATTGTGGAATTGCAGTTCCAAAAAAATATGAAAAAATAATATCTCCAATCCAAATCAAATCCTTGATCAGGGAGTCATACTGACATCATAGTGGGAGATTTTAACATCCATGCTGACATTGAAGGCGATAGCTTAAGAGCAGCCTTTAATGCTATCTTAGACACTATTGGCTTTGTTCAAAATGTGAATAGTCCCACACATTCTCATCTTCATACTTTGGATCATGTGCTGACATACGGCATAGAATATGAAGAAATAACAGGATTTCCTACAACCCTGTCCTTAAAGAAACAATTTCCCTTCCTCTGTTCTCACTGAGCTGTGCTGCAGAGGGCAAAAGTTTAGTTTATTCTCTCTCTATGCGTAAGTAGAGTGGTAGGTAGAGGTATAACATTACCAGCCCGATCCCGCGGGGGGGATTTCAGTCTGGCTAGATGTTTCGCCTTGGCTCTGTCTTTCTTACACCTCATCCAAAATACTCAGGTTATCCTGAGCTATCTCTATAGTTCTGCTGCTAGAGGCTTAGACTGCTGGAGGACATAGGGACCCCTTTTTCATCATTCTGCTTCATTCTTTTTTATTTTATTTATTTAACCTTTATTTAACCAGGAAAGTCCCATTGAGTTAAAGTAACTCTTCTTCCAGGGAGTCCTGGCCAAGAAGGCGGCTTAAAAAGTTACATTAACATAAAACGTAAAAATTCTATCTCTATAGTTCTGCTGCTATAGGCTTAGACTGCTGGAGGACATATATTACAGCTGTATGGTGGGCTTTGTTCAGTCTGGATGAAAGCAGAAGCTGTGAGCATTTCTGGGAAGGTGTCGGGGACGCCGTGACGCCTCTTGATTCCACGCATGTTCTACATTTATCAAGAATCTGGGTGAGTGTTTTTAAAGAGTTATGTTGAATGTTTCTAAGGACAAATACACATTTTAATCGTTTGTTTCTTTGTTAGGAGGCGCTAGGTTTTTTTTTAGACCAGGCTATGTATGCGGGGAGATGAGGGTGATTTACACGATTCACAGGAGTTTTTAGAGTTTTTAAGGTAGTTATTGAAACTATATATTAATTATATTTTTTGTAATTTGGTGTTTTGTGTTTGTTTACAGAGATGTTTTTGTTGCTCCTGCTGTCCTCAGGTTTATGTTGGTTTTGTTTAGTTAGTCCAACCCTGTTTGGTGTCTTTGGTTTGTTTTTATTCTTCCTATCTTTTTTTTCCATTTATTAGTTTGTTTGTTTTCCTTGGTCACTCCCCCAAGCATACTGTGAGCTTTTAGACAATATTTTATCTGATGTGATCGTTGGCAGTGTTAGTTTTTCACCTGATTGCTGTGAAGCCTTATGTAAGTCTGCAACGTTCTTGTTCTTATTATGCGGGTTTGTCCGCCATCCACTAATGTCAGAGTTTAAATATTAGATTGTCTACCTTAAGACATCAGTGTTGTAGAGAGGAAAAATATTTTTTATTTAATAAAGAACTTATATCTTTTAAGACCAAGCTTGTCTCATCTTTACTTGGGTTGTTACACATAGATACGACTTTCCATCATTCTGCTTCATTCTATCTCTATTCTCCCACTCTGCAGAATCTGTTAGTTCAATCTCTAACGTTCTGCTCTCTCTGCTTTTTCTCAGAGTAGCTTCATCTGGTCTGTTCCTGTTTGGCTGTGACTCCATCCTGGAGAGAAATATCAGCTGTGCTGCTGCCATCAACACCTTTGTTTCTAGATGTTGGAGCTTGGCCTGTTTTCCAGTGTAGTCCTGTTTCTCTGACTGTGACTAACTGGATGTGCTCTCTTCATCCTCTGACATGGGAGCTGGCTCGGAGCTCGTCTGCCTGGCTGCGTGTTTCCTGGACGGGGTCGCCTGTGGAGCTGGTTGACAGTTGCCTTTTGTATCTATGCTTCTTTTTCTATGTCTGCTTCTGTCTCCTTGAACCCCAGTGGGCCTCAGCAGATGGCCGCTCACACTGAGCCTGGTTCTGCTGGAGGTTTCTTCCTGTTCAAAGGGAGTTTTTCCTCTCCACTGTCGCTACAAGCATGCTTAGTGTGAGGGATTGCTGAAGAGTCAATGAGTCGATGCAATCAGCTGGTTTTCCTTAGATAGAAAACTTTGAATCAATCTGACTGGATGATCTGGTTGATATGGATCTATAAAGTGACCTGAGATGACATGATGTGAATTGGAGCTATACACTGCAAAAAATATCTATAAATGAGTTTAAAAAAAACATTAAGTGTATTAACCCTTAATTTGAGTAGATAGATACGATGATTTGCCAATGAAATTAACATTTTTAAAATTAAATAATTAGATAATTAATAAAATGCACTTGAAGACAATGCAATTGTTTTTTTTCTTATTTCAAATGTTAATCATCTTGTTCCATAAGTGTTTCACCTGCCTCCTCAATTAAAGAACAAACTGGTTTTAAGAGAATAAAGACTTGCTTAGATTTCCACTTTCTGCAGTGAAGAAATAAACTGAATATTTCTCCTTGGTAGAACCGTTCCTCTGAAGGAGACGAACTCCGTATCTCTATTAAACATTTCCTGGATCGTCAGATTTTCTGCAGTGACTTTTTCCCAGAGATCGAGGAGATATTTGAAATATTAACACATGGATGGAAATGAATGAACCTTTGATCTGATGCAGTAAACGCTAAACATTTCAGTCCTTAAATCGAGTTTCTGCAGTTTGTTTCAGACCCAAAGAGAGTTGAGGCTGAATTCTGCCTCCTGTTCCTCCGGAGCTCCGGGTCCAGAGGTCCCTGAGCTCCATCTGGTCATCAAATAGATCTTACATCCCATCCATTCTCAAACTGGGAGCCCTGGGAGCTGAGTGATGGGGTCAGTCTGCTGGTGCTGGTTGGGACTCTGGCTGCAGGTTCTAAGAGGAGCTCCAGACTGGCTGGTTCTGACAAAGACCAGCAGGAAATGCAGGAACGCATCATTTCCTGTTTTGATCTGTTGTTCTGGTTCTGGTTTCACTGCTTGGTCTGGAACCAGGTTTGTATTCTGGTCCATGAAGGGAAACTCAGTCTGGATTCTAACCAAAACACAAACACTTCTGTCTTTGGACCTGGAAAAGTTCTCCTGCTGGGTTTCCCTCAACTGGGCGACCAGAACGACCACTCAGCTGGGATTTCATTCTGTGGATCTTTCCTGCTTTTGCTCCCAGTCTTCACACTGGGTCAGAACCAGTAAACCCATCACGGCCTCATTTATCAGGCTCTGGGACGGATTTGAGGGGCAGCGGGTCTTCCTGCCATCACTGGGCTGGATGCCACAAGCAGGAAGTGGTTTTTCCTCCCTGTGGGGGTCTGACAGAGGAAGGAGGTCTACAGGAGCAAAGACCCACCAGCAGTGAGGTCCTGCTATCCTGCTGGATCTATCAACCTTATTTCTATAGAACACAGAAGTGCAGGGCTAACCACAATGCTGTACAGAAAAACAAAATAGAGTTAGAAAAATAAAAAAGCATAAATGCATGAATAATATTAAAATAACAGGTTCATGACAGGAGGAGTGACAGAAAACTGGATCTCAGAGTTTAAAACCAGAAATGAAAATGTTTCCAACAGAGACTCCAAAGCAGGAAGCCTGAGGAACATCATGGAAGGTTGGGGCTGCTGCAGCAATCGCTCCGTCGCCTCTGGGCTCCGGCTCGGTTTAATGGAGGACGGCAGGAAGGCTGAAGCTGCTCAGATAGATGGGGTGGGGTGGGGGGTGGGGGGCAATATTCAAACAGTTAAAAACTAATAACGGTATTCTATGCTAAACACCAGGATGGAGGAGATACAGGAATGGATGAATGTTTAGTCAGGAGAGGCTGAGGATGGAGCTCAGATCATCTCCTCCTCAGAAGGAAACCAGTAAATGAAGGTTTCTAGATGGAAGGAATCAAATCTGGGTTTGAACACGTGGAGCAGGAACAGGAAGATCACGTGACTGCTCTGACTTTAGAGAAATACCGCCACCTGCTGGTTGTTCAGTAAAAGACAACATTTTGATTTGACTAAATATCCATCATCCATCCATCATCCATCCATCCATCATCCATCCATCATCCATCCATCCATCCATCCATCATCCATCCATCATCCATCCATCCATCCATCCATCCATCCATCCATCCATCATCCATCCATCATCCATCCATCCATCATCCATCCTTCCATCCATCATCCATCCATCCATCCATCCATCATCCATCCATCATCCATCCATCCATCCATCCATCCATCATCCATCCATCATCCATCCATCCATCCATCCATCATCCATCCATCATCCATCCATCATCCATCCATCCATCATCCATCCATCCATCCATCAATCCATCCATCATCCATCCATCCATCCATCATCCATCCATCCATCCATCATCCATCCATCCATCATCCATCATCCATCATCCATCCATCCATCATCCATCCATCCATCATCCATCCATCCATCATCCATCAATCCATCCATCATCCATCAATCCATCCATCATCCATCCATCATCCATCCATCCATCCATCCATCCATCCATCATCCATCCATCATCCATCCATCCATCCATCCATCAATCCATCCATCATCCATCCATCCATCATCCATCCATCCATCCATCCATCCATCATCCATCCATCATCCATCCATCCATCCATCATCCATCCATCCATCCATCCATCATCCATCCATCATCCATCCATCCATCATCCATCC